CACGGACACAGACACACTCACACGGGCACAGACTCACTCACGGACACAGACACACTCACAGGGACACAGACTCTCAGTCATGGGCACAGACTCACTCACACGGGCACAGACTCACTCACGGGCACAGACTCACGCTCGCGGGCACAGACTCACGCTCGCGGGCACACACACAGGAGTGTGGACTCACATGGGCACACTCTGGCAGACGCACATGCTCAGACACCAGGCGGACCTCCGGCCCGCACAGCTCCTGCCGGCTGGGGGCTCCTGGCTGGGCCTGGGGCTGTGGGGAGAGGACCCCGAGCCTGGGTCCAGGCGGCGGTCAGGCCTGCACCCTCCTCCCGAGCCACAGGCCTGCCGGTGGCTGTAGGCTCTGCCCTTGGCAGGCAAGGCCCTGACCCCCAGTGGGCTGCGGGGAGGATGGTGCCCTCAAGGTCGGCCCAGGGCCACCAGGAGGCCAAAGGCTGCCAGACGTGTCCTTCAGGTCCGGGAAGCAGGGGGAGCCTGGTCAGGGGAAGAGACGGGCAGCCCAGCCTCGGGGCACGCAGCCAGGGTGCCCAAAGCAGCCCCGCTGGCGCTGGCGCAGCTCCACCCTGAGCTCGTGGACGGAGGCCCGGACGACCCCCCGCTTGGGGCTGAGCCCTTCATCACGGGCTGGGTCACATGGAGACGGCACTTCCCCCACGAGAGCCCCGCGTTCCTCCGCTCCCAGGCCCCAAGGTGCTCTGGCCCCCGTTACAGACGGGCAGTGGATGGCGGCAGAGATGGGGTGTAGCAAACAGCAGTCCAGTCTCCGCTTAAACGCTGGGGTGTCCCCTTGCCCCCCGCCCTGGTCTTCCCGTACAGCCTGACACTTAGGGCCGAGCTGGGCCTCCAAGAGGCCAGGCTGAGGACGCAGCTCTGGAGCCCACCGACTGCGTCCTCCGGGAGGCGAACCCGGGAAACGCCCACCTGAGCTCAGATGGGTGGCGGGCAGGTGGGTCGGTGGGGACCCCTCGGGGACGCAGCATCAGTGGGTCCCTCCTGCGAGACCCAGGCTGGAGCCACAGAAACCGCGGCAACACGCCTGTGCCTGGGACGCGGCCGCGGGAGGGGGCGCAGGGGTGCGCGGGCGGGGGGCTCCCGGTCAGGCTGGGGGCAGGGCTCAAGCATCTCGCTGGTTTCGGGGGAGTCTCTTCTGATCTCGCTGGTTTCGGGGGCGTCTCTTTTCTTCTTTGTGGCCAAAGATTTTCCAGGGTTAAAAATAGACTTTTTTTTAGAACATCAAACACTGGTTAAAGGCCAAAGGGGTGTGGGGGTCCACTCTGCTAGGGGCCATCCGTCCGCTGTGGATGAGGAGGGAGCGGGCTGCTGCCCCAGCCTGTGACGCTGTTACCACACGCTGCCCGAGTGACCCCAGAGGCCACGGACTCATCCCCGACCCCCGGGGACACAGCTCTGCATCCAGCAGCTGGGAGGAAGCATCGGGCGCTGTGGGGACATGGAGGGGCTGGCCCTGGCCGGGGCAGGACAGGGAGAGGACAGCCCTCGGCCCCAGCTCTCGCGCTGCTGGGTGGCCTCCCAAGCAGCCCCGGCCTGCTGGGCACAGGAGCCCCGGCACGGCCTGCGGGGTGACCAGCGACCCGGCCGGGCGCGGGGCCAGCAGATGGTTTCTGTCCATGGGGCCGTGTTTATGTTAATTGCAGATATTTTTACCGTATTGTGTTACTCCATCCATCTTTGTGAACGGTCCGTCTTGTAAAATTCTTTTAATGATGTTATTTTTTCTTGCCTATCTTCATCATCTACAATTATTTATAATATCATTGTCTTTGTTTCAAATACTGGGTATAAACATTGTTGTAACAGTTCTTCGATGGGGTTCATATAATTTTTACAATTGCTTAGAAGTGCTTCACTGGCCAAAGGCGTGGGAGGCGGGCCATTCTTCTGGGGAGAAGAGGCACCCCAAGGCTCCTGCGCTCTGTGACGCGTCCCCCGGTCAGGACGCTCCGGAGAGGGGGTGTGGGGCTGCCTCGGGCCAGGTCCCTGAGATGCCGTCCCCACAGACAGAGCCAGAGCCCCACAGGCCCGCGGGTGAGGCGCCAGGGAGGGATGGTTTGCTTCCCTTCACGGGGGTTTTCTGGAGCCTCAGAGCCCCCTGTCGCCTCCCTGCGGCCCGCTTTTCTCCCTGCCAGGCTGCTTTTTGGAGTCTCCTTGGCCGGCCAGGGACAGGACCTGGTGGGAGGCTGCTGATCACCTGGGGATCCTCCTGGGGGTCCCTGCACCGCAGGGTCGCTGCCCTGATGCAGCCGGGTTTGGCCCGGGTGGGGCTTGCCTGGGCCTTGGGCAGAGGCTCTCCAGCCCGCCGGGACTTCGCGGGGGGCTCCCTGGGGGGTGTGCAGCCTCCCTGAGCACCACCGCCACACACCGCAAACCCTGGCCTCCTCTGCTCAAACGCGCAGGGGCGCCCTTCTGGAGTGCGCCCACTTCCCTCCCAAGGCTCTCGTCGAGCCCCCAGCCCCCTGCGCTGCCCACCAGCCAGGGCCGCCCGCCCGCTGTCCCTGACGGCGCTGCCCTAGAGGTGGGGCTCGGGGCCCGTGGGCCCTGCCCTCGGTCCAGCAAAGGGTTACTCATCCTTCCAGGCGGGAGGAGCCCGCAACCCTCACTGCCTCCCCGGCCTCTCGATGGTGGGGCCCGGGGGCAGCAGGGGCTGCCTCCCATGACCCTGGGATCCCCGTGGCCCCTGGGAACGTGCTGAGGGTGGCCCGGGTCCGGGCTCGGTGCAGGCGTCTGAGCTGGGCGGGTGGTCTCCGTGTCTTTGGCCCAGAGTCGCGCACGCACCCACGAGGCTCGTTCAGTGAACGCCGCGTGCCAGAGAAAAGCAGAGAGGACCAGAGCCTCCCACAGTCTCCCGCCGCAATTCTCTGCAGGACTTCCCTCTTACGCGGTCGGGCGATGCTGCTGTGTGCAACTTCGTGTTCCGAGTCCTTTCAAAGGTGACGTCAGACGTCAGCCACGCTGCCCCCGCCTGCTCCGGACACAGCCCCCTGCGGGGGGACCGGCTCCCCCGGGAGCCCCGGGGCTCCTCCGGGGACGTGACGCTCCAGGCCGGGCACGGTCCTGCTGGCTCCTGCTCCCGGGAGGGGCCCTTCCAGGCGCCCCGGGTGCATGGGGGGGCGGGGGCGGACGGGGCGACTCAGCTCGGGCACAGCGAGTGTGGTGTGGCGCCACAGGCGTGCAATCTGAGGAGCGTGAGTGTTCAGGACACTTTTCTTTCCACTGTTCCCTAAGGATCAAGTTATTTTAAAAAGTTGGGAAGAAAAAAAAAAGTTGGGGAAAAAAAAAAAAAAAAAAAAAACCCTCAGAAAAGACCCATCTTACAGATGAGGAAACTGAGGCTCAGGAAAGCTAAACTTCCAGCCAGGATTTCAGGGCGGGTCTGATAGACTGCAGGCCCTTGCTCTCTGCAGGAGCCCTGCTTCCTGCCTCCCGGGCTAGCAGGGCTGGGAAACCGGCTCACACGCAGCCTGCAGTGTTTCATAAAGGCCAGCCTGGCCCCGGGGGGCGGGTGCCCCAAGGGGCTGTCCCAAGCACAGATTCCTGAGGGTGCCCGAGAATCCACTCCAGGCACTGTGTGCAGGCGGGATGCGGTGTCTGGGGTAGTGTGTGTGGGGAGGGCACATCTTACAGGAAAGAAAACAGTTTTATTTCAGACCCAGAGGGCCGGCGCAGCCCAAAGGCCCATTGTGCGAAGCCTGCGGGGACACGACCACACCCGTGACCAGGATGCCAGGCCCCCCCACCCCCCTGGCACCAGCGTGAGTTTCCACTTTCCACCCACAGTCACCTGTGCCGCGGCGGCCTCCGCCTTCCCCCATCCCTCCGCCTGCTCAGACCATCGTCCAGGGGATGGTTAGAACATGAAGCCAGTCGACACCTGCCTCTGGTGCCCCCAGGCCCCCACCCCGGGCTGACCCCACGGCCAGGCTCCGGGTCCCTCGGAGGCACCACCTGGAATCCGGAGAGGGTCACCGGGTGCCAGCGATGTGGAGCTGGATGGGGGGCCCTCGTCACTGCCGGCAACGTCCCCCACCCTCACCACCCGCGCAGGGGGGGCCTCGGCCTTCTGGACGGATGCGGCCCTTTGCGGGCCCTTCAACCGTGAGCCCCCGGACTTGGGGGAAGCTCCTCGGGTGTCACGGGGAGGGGCCATCCAGCAAGCCCATCCTGCTTCAAGGTCTCGGGGGGCAGTGTCCACGGCTCCACGGGGCGCGGCTCCCGCACTACAGCTCACCGCGGACAGGCGGCCCTGATGCCCCCGCGTCGGTCCCGAGGTTCAAGCAGGGGTCACGGGTCGCAGAGGCCAAACCCAGCCCAGAGACAGGTTTCCTGAAGCTCCGACCGTCCCAGGCTTCCATCGGTAAATTCTACATAAACTACATCACAGGAAGTCTGACTCCCGGGTCTGATTCCCGTCGAGTAGGAGCGTCTCCCTCGCACCTGCAACCCGGCCTCCGATACCCGGCCTGGCCCTGTGGGCCACACAGTCCCAGGTGAGGCCCAGCACACCTGGGCCTGGGGTGGAACGGGACACCCAGAGGGCTCCCCGGCCTCCTTCCCAGCCTGCGGAGCCAGCAGGAGGCCCATCCGCCACTGCAGGCCACCGTCCCGGCGCAGTGGGACCCCAGGCAGCAGACGCACGCCATGACCCCACGGGGACCAGGCCCGCCTCAGACTGAGCGGGAGGCAGGGATGGGGCAGCAACCCCAACCCCAGGGAGCCACGCACCCCCCGAGCTGCCGGTCACCCCCGAACTGCTGGTCAGAGCGGCTCCATGCCCTGCGCAGGCCGGGAGACATGCCCTGGGTGCTCAGACCAGACGCGGTGCCCACAGCCGCCGTCTCCAGGACCCGCTGGCTCTCGGGCACAGGGCGGTGGGAGCAGAGGCCACGGGGCCCTGCGGGCTGAGCCTGGCAGGGTGACAGCTCCCGCGAGTGTCAGGAAAGGGCCACACTCACCAGGGATGTGGACCTTGAATTTGCCGCTCTGTCCGAAGGCGCTATCGATGACCCCCAGCTCGCCGGTGGACAGGTGCACCCTGAGTCCCACGAACAGCTGGATGTTGGTTTCCTTCTTGAACAGGGAGCGGCCGATCACGCTGTGGTCATCCAGCACCTGCGCCCACCCGCCCGGGGAGAGAGTCAGTGCCGGGGGAAGGCTGGCCGCCACACGCACGTGCGCTCAGCCCGCGTCACTGCTGATGATCAGCCCCCCTGCCCCACCACCTGCAGGGACACGCAGAGCTGACGGGAGCCCACAGCCATCCCGCCCGCCCGTCCTGGAGCCGACAGCTCCTCAGGAAGGCCAAGGGGGTGCCATCCACTCCCGAGCCCACCCCGTCCACACTCTGGTCACCTCCCAGCCCCAGGCCCCCTGCCAGCTCCACTCCACAGCCTCTGCAGAGAAGGGGGAAGGGGTGTGTGTGTGTGTGTGTAAGCACCAGCTCTACCAGGCCTCGGAGTGCCAGGGAGGCCTCCTCCTGCCCTCTGGGCCCCGGGCACGGCCTGGGCAGCACAGAGAGGCAGGCCGTGCAGTCAGCGGGGACCTCCTCCTGGGGCCCCGTGAGTGAGGCTCAGGAATATCGCACTTCTGCCCATGATGCCAAGTTTTGGCCAAGGACCCGGGTGGGCTGCTCTGAAAAGCAGAAACTGCCCCATTTACCCTAAAAACCTTTCAGAAAAACACACCCTACCCTGCTAGATTCACCAGCCAGACACCAGGCATGTGCGCCCCGCCTCCCCTGGTGACGGGTGGACGGGCCACGGGCCACGCGGAGAGCCGTCAGCCTCACCCCCACGGGAGCTGCTCCGTGCCCTCGTGATCGCAGACGGCCCTGCCCTCCGCGTGGCAGCGGCAAGGCTGTGTGAGGGTGTCCCGGGCCCGCGGCGCGGGGGCTGCAGAGAGCGGCAGCTCAGACCCCAGAACTGGGGAGTCCGGGTGAGCGAGTGTCCCCAGCCTCGGAGGGCGAGGGTTCCTGTCGCCTTCCGCAGGCCCCCAGCGGCAGCCCCCATGGAAGGGCCTGCGTGAAGCCCTGTCCCAGCCTCGCGGGGGGCCCGGTCAGCCAGCAGGGCCAGGACAACAGCCAAATAGACCCGTGTGTCTGGACCAGCCGTGCGCGTCCCCCCCCAGGGGCCGGTCCCGAGCTCGGCCTCGCTGCTGAGGCTGCTGGCCAGAGGGGGCCCCTCAGAGCCCCGCGGGCCCGCAGGCACTCGTCTGCAAGGGCTTTCCCGAGCTCAGGGACAGCGTCCGAGTGGCTTGCGGATGCGGAGCGGGGTGACAGCGGGGACAGAGGCCCGCCGGGAGCCCCGAGGGGCCAGGGCAGCCCCTGCACCCGGAACACAGCCTCCAGCAGCGACGGGCTGTGGCCGTGGGTCCCAGCAAACCTCTGCTGCGGGGCTGGTGTTCACTGACCCCTGGGGCCAGATGGTGAGGCCTCCTGCAGGTGGCGGGCAAGCTCATCTCCACACACTCCCAGCCTTAGCGGAGCCCTCGGGGATCAGACACCAGCCTGTCCCATGGGGAGGCCGGCCCCCGTTAGTCCGCCCCGGGACGTTGGGCAGGGATGGCACTGAGCCTCGGCACTGAGACGGCTCCGGGGGGCTGCAGCGTCCACCAAGGACCCGCCTGGCTGGTCAGCCCCGCGGCCATGGGCCGCTCCCCGAGTGCAGCGAGCCTCACACGGGGTCCACCCGGGCGCGTGCCCTCTGCCCCGGCCCCCGAGCAGGACTTGGCTGGCAGCACATGTAATCACGTCGTCACGCGCGTGTGTGTCTCCGGGCCAGCTCTGCGGCGCGGCCTGGGACTTGCCCAAGCCCTGAGGCGATTGTTTTCACTCCAACCGGAGGACGGGCGCCAGGACAGGGGGCGGCCGCGGGAATGGGGCCTGGTCCGCCTCCCCAGGCCCTGCAGCCTGTGCCTGGGGTTTCGCTGAGCCGCGGGGGCTTCTTCCGGAAGGGCGACTATCAGGAGGGGGTGCTGGTGTCGGCTAGAATGGGGGAGACCACCCAGGGGCCAGAACCTCGGCCGGCAGAAGCTGGAGCTGGGGGCTGCAGTGGGCGCAGGGGTGGGCCCGGGGCCAGAAGGGTGAGGTGCCCGGCCCGCAGAGGATGGGCATCAGTAGGGCCCCCGGGGAGACCCCTGCCACCAGGACCTGCAGCCCGTCCATCCTTTCCAGCCTAAGGAACACGCTGCCACGGCTCGCCTTCCCCCAGTGCGGGCGGGGCAGCCAGGCCCTTCCCCGGGCTCGGCACCCCTTCTGGGGGCACAGGACATGCGTGTCCCCGGCAAGGTGGCGGTAAGGAAGACACAGGGTCTCTGGGGGCGACTGGCCCCACGTAACCCCCCCGGGCAAACCCAGGGCTGGAGACTGGCCCTCAGGTCACCTCACTCTGTCGGGCGGCTTCCAGGGGCCTCGGGGACTCGGCTCCAGCCCGAACGCCCACTAACCGGATGCCCAGGCCCACTCCTCAAGACCAAGGCCTGCCCAGCACCCAGGGGGCTGACCAGCAGGGACAGGCCTGGTGTCCACGGCCCCAGCTCACGGGCCCTGCCTCCCTGACTGTCCCCATCCCTGGGCGCCGAGTGGGCAAAGGGGCACCAAAGCGCCGTGCTCCAGGACAAAAAGTGGGTGGACACTTGCTGGGCACCTCGCATGGGCCAGGTTCACCTCTCAGGCCAGGCCCTCCCACACGGGGCCTCACCAGCTTTCCACCAGCTCTGTTACAGAGGCCACAGCTTCTGGGCTGGGGGCGGGGGTGACTGGTCCACGGCCAGGTCAGGCCAGCACCTGCTCAGGACGTCAGATCCAGAGCCAGCGCTTTCCCCTGTGGCCAGCCGCCCTGACCCTCTATCTACACAGAAAAAACCATTTTCAAAAGGGAGCCAACAGGCACAGGCTATTAGACGCCACGGGGAAGGCAGGAGAGACCCAGGCGCTGGGCGGGGCTGGCACTCGCGGGCGGCTATCAGGTCTCCCCGAGGGGGCTCTGCTCAGCTGTGGCTCCAGGAAGAGTCTCCATTTCCCCGAGTGGCCTGGGAGCCAGGTGGGGCCAGGGGGCCGCGGGCAGCGCTGCTGGACAGCAAAGAGCCCGCGCTGGCCAGAGGCAGTCTCAGGCTGCCTGCGCCCAGGCCGGCGTGCTCCCTGGGGCCCTGGGCACAATTAGCGAGCCATCAGCAGTGGAGCGGGGCAAGCCGGGAGCCGCGGCAGAGCCGCTCAGACTTCAAAGCTGGCCAGCGTGCCCGGTGGCGTCTGCACGTCCACACTTGGTTGGGCCGATGCCGCAGGCTCCTCTGCCCAGCCCGCAGGCTCTGCCCGTCCGGCGCCAGCGGGGGCCAGGCCCAGGGGGCCGGCACACCCAGGCTGACCCCGGCAGGGCAGAGAGAGAGGTGCCAGCTGGGGACCCGGGCAGCTGCGCCAGGAGGGAAGTCCAAGAGGGCAGGGGCCGGCCCTGCCCACACAGCGGTGCCCCTGCCCGCGGCCCTGAGGGCTGGGGTGCACAGCCCCCATTTCTCCAGCAAGGAACCTGAGGGAAAGAGACTCGTCAACGCCCTGCTGTGCCAACTCTCACTGAAACTGGTCTGCAGGCAGCCAGGGTGAAGACAACACCATGCCTTCCAGTGTGGGGCACCCAGGGCAGCGTGGGGGCACACAGGCAGTGGTGCGCCAAGGCCCCTGGGGGTCAGGGCTGGGGGCAAGCAGGGGACGAGGCACAGGGCCTGCAGTCACGGGCTCCAGGGCCCTGCACTCCCCGCCCATCGCCCGTGTCTGCACACACTCAGGGCGGCACCAGGACGGCCAAGCCTCCCCCACTCGGGGGTCAGGACCACGGGGCCTGCAGAGGCATTGGGCAGACCCCACGGGAGCCCGAGTTCCCTGGTGCCGGGTCTCAGCGTGCGGCTCTAAGCCTGTGGACACCGGTCGGGTCCCAGGCCACCCCTTACCCCCATCCCTGACCCCCGGAGCCGACGCCAGGGAGCCACAGGGACAGGGAGGCCCGCACGCGCATCTGCTCATGGCCCAGCGGGCGGGGGCTCCCAGCTGGGGCTGCGGGGACAGCTGATAGTGGGGGGCCACCCAAGAAGCCGCCCGCCAGCGCTGACCGGCTGGACCGGCCGGGCCGGAGGACAGGGGCCCAGCTCCCCGGCTGAGGGCCGCGGGCGCGGGCGGGAAGGTGTGCTCACCCGCTCCACGACGCCGCGCTTCTGCTTCAGCTTGTATACCCGCAGCGCGGGCAGGGCGCTCTCCGCGTAGGTCCTGTCTTCCAGCCCGTGCAGCAGGACGCCGTGGAAGGCCAGCCGGCACGTGTTGGCATGGATGTCGGCGTCCAGCCTGGAGCCGATCACCAGGCAGAGCCGCGGGCAGGTGACGGGCTTCTCGAACTCCACCAGGGCCCACTGCTGCCGGGGGCTGTGGCCCGCCGAGGCCTGGCCCGCCTTCTCGTCAGCCTCAGCCGTGGCCGCGCCCGGGCACAGGTACTGCTCCTGGAAGAGGTACTCGCGGGAGAAGTCGAAGGAGTCCAGCACGGGCTCGCGGTCGAGGCTGTCGGGCGCGGGGCTGAAGAACATCACCCGGCCCATGACCGTCTCGTGGCCCACGGTGATGTGGAACTTGGCCTTGGTCTGCAGGGGCCCCCGGAAGTAGGGGATCTTCTCCACGGAGATGAGGGCCGCGTGGACCGTGTGCAGGGACCCGGGGGCACACACCAGGCCACGCTCCAGCAGCTTGGGGTCGAACTGGGTGACGCAGAGGCCGAGCCGGTCCCCCTGCACGGCCGAGCTGACGGGCGTGTGGAACATCTGCATGGACTTCACTTTCCTCACCACCTGGGCGGAGCAAGAGAGGGGGCGCTGAGTCTGCGCCTCGGGGCGGGGGCCCAGCAGAGTGGTCCGTGTCCCAGGGCTGCCAGCAGCCATGGGCTCCCGATCAGACGCCCCCACACGGAGCAGGTCCACGGGGCGCCCGGGCCTTGCTGGGGTCAGTGGTCACTGCAGCCTGACTGCACCACTGGGGTCCCCTCTCGTCACCCACCCAGGCTCCGTCCTGCACTTTCTTCCCCAGCCCTTGGTCTAGCCTTGCCTCCCCCACCTGCCTGGCCCTGCCCGGCTGCCTCAAAAGTGCAGGACAAACGCGGCTGCCCAGGCCCCCGTGGGCAGAGCACTGCCCCAGTGCCTCCCGGCCACGCGCCCGCTGTGCCGCCCCTGCCCACTCGGACCCGCCCGCCGCCAGCTTGCGGGCTGCGCTGCTCCTTGTTCACCAGACACACGGACCCGGGGCCGCCGCGTGCTGGGCGCTGTCCCAGGTGTGGGGACAGGGCCAGCTGTGTCCGCAAAGAACACAGCATCCAGAAACAGCGCTACGGGTGCGTTTACAGCAACGACGCCTGTGAGCATCAACAGAATAGACACGTGGCGTCCTGTGTGTAGGTACGTGTGACTGACACGCCCACAGTTTGCACGTCGCTCACGCCCTGCTTGGAGGAAATGACGCAGCATGATGCTGGGGCCTCGGGCTGGGGGCGTCCAGTGGCATGGGGGCAGCAGGCAGGGAAGACCTCTGCGGAGGCCGTGTCTGAGCTGACACCCTGATCACGAGAGACAGCTGCGTGGGGGTCACAGAAGGTCCACTCAAAACCGGGGCACCTGGAGGTGTAGAGGTGGTGGGGGGCTGCAGCCGGGGTAAGGAGTGGGGCGCAGCTGGAAGCCACCAGGGGTGACGGGTCTCACCTGTTCACAAACCATCACATGCCCACCCCAGCAGCACACTTCTGTGCCCAAGGCGGCTAAATCAGGAGCAGGCACAGAAAAGGCCCCACAGACGTGCATAGCGCGAGCAGCGTCTCTGCAGAGACCCACGTCGGGGTGACGAGACGGTCACAGGACCTCTGCTCAGACCACCAGAGGAACAGGACCCCAGCACCAGCACCCTCACACGGGGCAACACCGACCACTAGGCTGCGGGTGCCTGGTCTCCGAGGTCAGTGTGTGGAACTCCCGTTTCCTCCCCATGTGGGGTGCTGGGCTGACATGAGCCACAGGAGCCCGGTCCTTCCCTGTGGAGCCTGAAACGCCAGTGTTTGTTTAAAGAGCATTAACCACCTAACCAGGAGGTCAGGGGGCAGAGAAAGTGAGAGGCACGGTGTCAAAAGCCACCGTCAAGATCAATCAGACAGACACGAGGCACCCGGAACGGTCCGCGCGGGCGCCGGGACGCGGCCTACCAGGAATGCGGCGCGGGGTGACCGCGTGACCGCAGGGTGTCACCTTACACCAGCCCTGCCCAGCCGCCCTGCGGGCCCTCCCCAGCCCGGCGATGCGCTCACCGCCCTCTGCAGGGTCCCGTCCCTGCAGCGTGACTGCCACGCTGTGTGCGCGGGGGCACCTGAGCCCCCACGGGGGACGCGACCACAGCACGCAGAAGGACCCGTGACAGCGACAGAGACGGAAGAAGGGGGCGGCGGGGGGCGGGGGTGCCGTCTCCTGGGGCAGGAAGGCCCCCGGCCCGGCTCCCGGGAAGGCCAGCCGCCTGCAGCTCCTCGGCCTGTCTCCCTGGCAGCTGGAGCTTCCGCGGGGAGGGGAGGAGGAATACCATCAAGCAAGCCAACAGTTTTTCAAACTCAAGTTCATGCCGGCTAAGCAGTTTGGCCATTTCTTATTAATACACAAGTCTTACCATTCTCTGGGTCAGTTATTCTTCATAAAACCCTACGAGGCAGGTCAATATTTTTCCATTCAATTTTATGGATGAAGAAACAGAGGTTTTTGATGTCTCCAAGGTCACAAGGCAAACAGGCTGAGACTTGGGCTGATCAGCTCCAGGACCTCGAGGCAGGCCTGGCGCCTGGCCTGACCCCAGACCACCCAACAGCTGACCTGGGGCGGTGCTGGGGGCTGCGGGGTGGACCCCCCCCCCGTGAACCCAGGAAGAAGGCTCTGGAGCTGGAGGCAGGGCCCAGCCCCCTCCCCTGCCCCTGTTGAGGTCAGCAGCACCTCCTGATGGCCAGCCCGGCTGACTTCGGACCTGACCCCTCAGCTACCTCGGCGTCCCTCTCTGGGCAGCAGGGCCCCAGTGGGATGGGTCCTCCCTCCGTGGGGTCTGGGACGGGCTGGTGGGACAGCAAACGGACGTCCTGTCTGCCCGGCCCCACGCACTCAGGGGCTCTCTCCGGCTTCTGAGCCTCTGCACCGTGGTTTCTGGGGACTGCGGCCCTCGGCGGGAGGCTGGGCTCACGGTGACCGGGGTGCTTTCTAAGGCTGCTGAACACCGGCAGGGAAGTGGCCCAAGGCGGGGTCCCAAGGCATGCGTCTCTGCCCTGCACGGCACCAGCTTGCAGGATCGGACACCCAGCCAGCGGTGGCGAGGGCAGAAGAGAGACACGGCGTCCGTGGGACGCCTGTCGAGTGACGAGCTGGTTCTCACCGTTCGCCCAACCACCTCCAGGTGGCTACGGCGACCACACTTCACAGAGTCAGGATCGAGGCCCGGGGGAAAGGCATGTGCCGGGGCACCCCATCGACCCGTCTGGAAGCCCCCTCTCCCATCACACCATACATATGAACCCCAACAGAGTCCATGAGCACCGCAGCCCTTGACCCAGCTCTCTGGCAGTGCTGTTTCTGCAGCGGAGGTCAGAGGAGCCAGACCCACCACCACACACTGCGAAGGACCAGCGCGCGGGGGTCCCTGACATCCTCCAGAATCAACAGATGCCAGGGAGAAGGGGGCTGAGCCGCACTGCTGATGGGCAGAGGTTGCTGTAGTAATGGCACCGGCCGTAATGAGATTGGGCCCCTGTTATCCGTTTTCGCCCACTAATGAGTCTGGAAGCTCCTGGCTGTGCCAAAGGCGAGGGTCAGGGCCCTGCGACTGCATCACCACTTAATGAAATGTAAGTCGGGAGAGAAGAGACACACAAGGTCGACACTAATAAGCTTACACCAGGATCAGTTACTGCAATTCAAAGAGGCTCAGACCGGAGGGAAAAATGAAATAAGCTTTTAAAGATCCGTCTAGGTTTGGCTCCATCAGACCTAACCAATTTGGTTTAATAAGGTTTCAATTTGGCTGCTCTTATTTCTCCCTCTCCTGTGAGCCGGGCCGGGCACAGATAAGACGTCCCCGGCCGAGTGCATTATGCGTCTTGCACAAAAAGCCACACTCGGGACGCCGCCGGGGAGAAGGCGGCCTGGGCTGTGGGGGCAGCGGATGGGCCCCGGGGGTCGGTTCCCACCCACGTGCATTCTAGAAGAACGAACCATTCAGAAAGGCGCAGGGGCCGAGTGAGGTGCCCACCGCCTGCGCTCCCTCCCGGGACCGACCCGTCTGAGCTGCCACCCATCCTCGGTCTCAGCGTGGGGTGGAAGGCTTCGAGGCCTGTGCCCGGCCCGGCCACCCTGGAGCAACCTCCACCAAGTCTTCCCGTGCCCCACCAGGGGCGTTCACAGCCTCGAGCACCCCACGAGGCACACGCGTGTGAGTGTACAGGGCTGGGCCTGCCGCTGGTCCACTCGACGGCTCGTCCCCTTGCCCTGGGTGGACGTCTGTTCATGTTGGGAGATGCCTCTGCGTGCACACCTGCCTTCAGATTCGCCTACCAGCTCACACTGCGGCCGGCTGGGCCGCACGCCCTGTCCAGTCACTCCTCCTGACTGCCGCGGTCCTTCTTCCTCTTACCTACGCCCGCACTCGTGGGCACGCTGCCGCGGGGGCCCTTCCTGTCGCGCCCCGCCCCGTGCTCCCCAGCACCGCTTTGCACGAGACCCGTTGGGGGTCGCACACCTGCCTCAGTCTCCCTGATCGCCCACCACTGTGGCCACTCGCCCCCAGCAGCGCCGGGCAGAGCCTCCACTCGGCAATGTGGGCTATTTGCGGCCGCCCACCAGGACGGGTCTCCTCGGGGGTCCCTGCTGGGGAGGTGAAGCTCCTCCCCACAGCGGATGGCCAGGCCCAGTGGCCTCTCGGGTGTGCTCCCAGGGAGGTGACATCGAGGAGGTCAGGCCGGCCCCTCCCTGTCGTGGCTCGGGGCCTGGGCCCCTGCCCCGGGTACTGGCACCACCAGGAACCAGGCCTGGCAGTGCTGGCCCAGCCCCTCCCACTGGCCTCGTCCCAGGAGGCTGCGCTGACTGCCCAGCAGTGGGCTCTGCTCCATGCAGACGTCCCCGGGGGCCTCAGCCAAAGCCAGCCGCACCCGGGGAGGCGAGCGGGGAGACCTTCCTCTCAGCGGCCCCTGCTCAGGAACGAGACGCAGCCCCTAAGAGGAGGAGGCCGTCTTCAGAAGCCTGGGGGCCCACATGCACCCCTGGACCCGAGTGCAGGCTCCGACGGGGGGTCTGCCTACAGGCGCGTCTGTCTACTCCAGCCACGGCCCCGCCTGAGTGCCCGGCCCCGCTGCGTGCCCGGAGCTCGGCGCCCCCCGGGCCCGCGTACACCGCCCCAGCTTAGGCCCTGCCCAGAGCGCCGGGTCCTGGCGGGCGCTGATGAGCGCCGTCAGGCCCCACGCCGTCACTGCGCCTGCACGTCTGGCTCCGCTCTCTGGGCGCCTGTGCCGGGCGGGCGGCTGTCCATGGCAGGCCGTGCCATCTGCTGCCTGCTGGCCCCTTCCACTGCTGTCTGTGGTGGGCATCCGGCGGTGGGGGGAGGGGGTCATTGGGTTTCCTACTGCGGGGCCCAGCAGAGGCTCCGCCCCTCCACTGCGACCTCACAAACTCACCCAGGTTCTTAGCCACCCAGTCCGGCAACAATGGAAAACCGTAAAAGTGACTAGGGGCCTGCCAGGAAGCTCCATGCTCCTCCTCCCAGCCACCCTCCACGCATTTATCATCCCATA